TTCACATCATTGGAGGATATTTAGCCTAGTTTGGGTGATTATTTGGTAAAAATGATCTAGAGAGAATTGACTCAGAGCCTGCCCATAACATGGTAGGAACATAAAAATGTCGATTGGTTGTGTGTCTACAAAAGCAGAAAGCAAGTTGATTTCTATTTATAATCATTGATAATCATTAATACTCACAGGACATTGTGTTTTCTCTTTCTTTAGCCTGTTGGTATTTGCAGTGGTTCTCTGGGTCAAAGAGGATTAGAAAAGTTTGTCTCCGTGACTTGTCACTTCTTTGAACCACAGGTATTTTTCAATCTAATTGTTTGTCTTCTTGTGAAGAAGGGAACAGATAAGCTAAATTCTAACTGCCCCCACCCCACCCTCTCCTTTTTATTTCCTAAAATCCATGATCATCACTTTATTCATCCTGGCCCAACGTCATACCCACAGCATGGCAGGTTAAAGACCAGTCAGTCATACTTTGTTCACTATGAGGCAGAGAACTATAGTTGAGAGGGTGATTGAGACAGGCCACCCTGTCCCAGTGTGACTCTGGGAACATTCTTCCCTCTCTGAGTCTTGGTTGCCTCGTCTGTAGAATGGGATTGCAACATCCACCTGGTTCAGATCCCTGTGGGAAACAAAGAGAGGAACTGGATGAAGGGCCCTGTATTGGGCCTTGGCAATGAATAAGCAATCAATAAAAGTAGCTGTGGCTGCACTACTGCAAACAGGGTGACAGTTCCCCGGGGGACTTGAAAGAAGCCATTTAACCTCTCCAAACCACTGTTCAGCTCTGAATTTGTAAGACTTGCAGCCAAGCTTCTGTTGTCTGGTTTTGCTTCTTAACCCTTTAACCAGAGGTTCATCCCTCTAGTTGGTTTCCCTTTGAAACATTCCACCGGAAAGTCCCAGAACAGCTTAGCTTGGTAGTAGCCATGGCAGGCAGAAGTTTTTCCTGGGAATATTCCCTTATTTGAAAATGTTCATATTTCAGGTTCCTGTACCTGGAGAGGAAAATGCTTCTGCTAGCCAGAGACCTGTGGACCTCCCTGGGGTGGGAGAGTCCCAGCAGAAAAACACAGCTCCTACCAACTCACCCTCCAAAGCTGTGCCTAAGGGATCTGTCCAATATCTCCCTGACTTGGATGATGAGAAGAAGCCTGAGGGTGCTCAGGAAAACAGCCCTGTCGAGGCCTTCCCTGTGAAGCTAGATCTCACCACAGATCCTCAGGGAGAAAGCCTGGATGTTTCCTTCCTTTTCCTGGGACCTATGGAGCGGAAGCTGGTTGTCCTGCCTTTCCCCAACAAAGAACAACGCTCTGCTGAGTGCCCAGGACCAGCACAGCAGGGCAACTTTCTTATTCTCCCACCATGAGAACCACATAAAGGATTCCATGGGGGTACAGTGCCTTGTGGGAGAAGGGAGGTGCTGGAGAATGGGGACAGGGAGACAGAGAACTCAAATGTAGAAAGTGACTAATAAAGTGTATCATTTGACTCTTTGTGGTCTCATCATGTTATCTGGAAGTGTAAATAATGAGACTACACCGTCGACTTATACACACGGCTGCATCCCTTCTGAACCATCCAAGGCCTCACACACCATGGACAGATGCCTCTCTTCCTCTCCTGTCTTCAGCCTCTCCCTCTGTAATCTTACTGCCTGTTTGCTAAGTCTCTGACATAGGGCCTGCCATATTCAGAAATGTCCTCTTCTTTCTGGGCAAAAGCACATTGTGAGTCATTTGATCAAAATGAGATAAAAATGGAAGGATATCAAGAAACTGGGGAGACGCCTGGGTGGCTCAGCGGTTGAGCGTCTGTCTTTGGCTCAGGGCATTATCCTAGATTCCTGGGTTCAAGTCCCACATCAGGTTCCTTGCATGGAACCTGCTTCTCCTTCTCTCTGTGTCTCTGCTTCTCTTTCTCTGTCTCTCATGAATAAACAAAATCTTAAAAAAAAAAAGAAACTGGGATTCATTGGAGTGTCATTCTACGTATATTCCATAATTATTTCAACAGAGATTATTGGTCAAATATTTGCACAGCCTTCAACCTAAAGGCAGAATTTTGGTTTTTTTTTTTATGACCTGTATGAATAGTCCCCAAGCCCCAGAGCTTGATAAACTCATCTGTCAATAGGAGTAGTTGGAAGCGACAGGTGCCTGTGGCCTGCGATTGAGCCTGGGGAGAACCAAACAATGCTCCAAGTTGGAGAGCTTTTTGACACCTATAATAGTTTTGTTTAGAATAGAAATTAAGGTTCTGGTGACATTCATTCCCAATGTTTTCACTTAATAATATATATGTATATAATACAGTATATTATGTGTGTATAATTTATCCAAATATATGTAATAGCTGCATATACATATACACACATATCTTTTGAAATCTGACAAGTGTTAGGTGTTGAATTGTTTCCCCAAAATTCATATACTGAAGTCCTAACCCCCAGTACCTCAGAATCTGGTTGTATTTGCATATAGGTCTTTAAAAATGTAATTAAATTAGAATGAGATCATTAGCATGGGCCCTAATCCAACATGACTGGCATCCTTATAGTAAGAGATCAGGACACAGATTAGCACAGAAGCAAGGCCATGTGGGGACACAGAGAAAAGGTGGCCAAGGAAAGAGGCCTCAGAAGAAACTCACTTGCCAACACCTTAATCTTGGCCTTCTAGCCACCAGGATTGTAGGCAATCACTTTCTGCCATTTCAACCACTCAGTTTATGGTACTTTTTTATGGCAGCCCTAACAAGCTAATACAACAGGGAAATCACAGGTGTAACAATTGTCCTCCAACCTAGTAGCTGTTTTTTAAAAGAAGCACATAGGCCTTGATAGCATTTGTTTAAAAGCAGTAAACAATAGCCATGTGCTGTTAACTCTTAGCTGCTTCCTTTAGGAAGGAAAAATGATGAAGTAGGGGCATCATGCAGAGTCTTGGGGCCTGTCGCAATCCAGGTCTAGTAAGAAACTCAATGCATCACTAGGACTGTATTGGCCCTGAGGGTTCAGTGAAGGAAGGGGAGGAGAGTGCATGAGCACATCTAAATCTCAGCCAAACTGTAGGAAAAGGTTATCCTCATCCTGGGAGCCTTTCCATCCCCTGCCTTTCCCTCCACCAGCCTTTAGCTCCCTGAAAGGCACTCTGTATTGGGTGTGGCCAGTAGAGCAAGAATAGAAGGCGTAATTAAGGAGCTCAGCTCATCAAAACATAGTAAGTTTTCATGTTTGTCTATAGTTTTCTCCCTGCCTCACCTCAGGTTAGAGCCCATTAGTGACATCTTGGCCAGATTCATACATACTACTCCTGTCATTTAAATTTCATTGAAGAGGTCCCGTTTCGCTAAGTAAAAGCTAGTGTCGTTAACACTACAGGTTCAATATCGAGCATAATTCAAAACATGTGTCTTCCATGTTTAGCACTTGCTAAGCCAGCCTGTGACTCTGGGAAGTGGGGCCTGCTTTTCATATACCCTCCCCTTTCCCTCTCTCTTCCAACAATGTCCCTCCCTTCAGGGTCTGTTTAGAGTCCAGTGGTTCTCAACTATGAATGTACATTGGAATCACCTGTAGGCTTTCAAAGTACCAAGACCTAGGTCCACCCTCAGAGATCCTTATTGCTCTGGGGAGAGCCTAGACAAGGATTTTTAGAAGTCCCTCAGGTGATTCTAGAATGAGAAACACTCAGACACTCACTGCAGAGAGAACAGGAAGTGGGGAGCTGCTATTTAAGGAACCTGTCAGGGTCCCAGGAGGGAACCTGGGCAGATTCCTTCAGGAAATATACAGGCAGGTAGATTGTTTCTCTAGAAGGGTGGGGGTGGGGTATCAGCCTAATGCCAGGCCTGCCACCCAGGTCAAGCCCTTCCTAGGTATAGAGTTCCTAACCCCTTCTCTGGGATGGGCATCAAATTGCTTGATTCCTACCCTCACCACCATTCTCATCCATATAAACCAGTTCTCTTTAGTGCGCTTTAGGGGCCACAGAGAACCAGATAAGAGGTGCCAACTTCTTCTCAGAAACATTAGTGATAATAATGATAACAAAAATACATCGCATCATTTACTCAATACCCAAATCTGTGCCAAGAATTATACTAGTTACTTTATATGTTTCCAATTTAAGTATCACACAATCCTGCCAAGAGGTATGAATCTCCATTTTATAAATGAGAAAATTAAGAATCAGAGAAGTTTAATGGCTTACCCGGCATCACACTGTAAGAGAACAGGGCAGGTTTGAAATTCGGATCTGACTCCCAAGTAATAGCTTTTTAATCCTCTTTAACTCAGAACTCCGTTCCTTTTATGGTGTTAACCATTTAATGTGTTACCTCCCTTAAATACTGCAATTACTTTTCTTTTTTGTTCTTTGTTGTTGTTTCTTTTGTTTTTTTTTCTTTTAAGATTTTATTTATTTATTCATGAGACACACAGAAAGAGGCAGAGACACAGGCAGAGGGAGAAGCAGACTCCCCATGGGGAACCAGATGTGGGACTCAGTCCCAGGACCCCGGGATCACACCCTGAGCCGAAGGCAGACACTCAAACACTGAGCCTCCCAGGCGTCCCTGTAACGCAGCTACCTTCTGCTGAGGATGTTGAGTGCCATAATCCAGAGTAGGGAGTGATGGTGGAGCTTTCTGGCAGAAACAGGGAGGCAGATGGAGGGAAACTGCTTCACTTCTAACCCTACCCCACACACCAATGTGGGCAGTGCTTGTGGTCAAAAACATACACTGGATCTGCTACTACTAGAAAAATCCAGATTTTGTGCAGATCACGGGTCTACCACTCACCAGCGGCATGCCTTGACTTTCTGTCCCCAGGACCCACTAATCATTTACAGCATGTTGATAGATATTTTAACCAGGGGTCAAGGTGACTCTCCCCGGTTACACAACAGAAATGTATGAAGACTGTGTTTAATCAATTATGCATGTGTGTGTGTGTGTGTGTGTGTGTGTTTTAGAAAGTCTTTATAAAATTCCCTGCTGTGATGTTCTATAGCAAGGGTTGGTTTTCCCATTTTCACAAAATGAGAGCCTTCCCTGCAGCACTGCTTCTCCTCCCTTTAGTCGTGCTGCCGAGCTCCTGTGCTGTGATTCCCACAGACTGCGATGCTACTGAATCCTTTGCTGAGAAAGCCCTAGACCTGATCAATAAGGGACGGCGGCATGGTTACCTTTTCCAGTTGCTGCGGGTCGCTGATGCGCATGTGGACAAATCGGTGAGGAATCAGCAGCGCTAGAGCTGAGCTGGGCAATGTGGTTCCGGCCTGTAGGCTTACTGCTTTGCATGATGCAATGGCTTAGGCTAGGGTTTCCAGTTTAGATTCTGCTGCTGCTCTACACTGTTCTTTTTTCCTTCAGACTAACATTTGCTATTCAGAGCGCTTAATTATGAATCAATCTCTAAGTACTTATAAGCGTGTATGCTGAGCCAAGTCCAATAGTGAGCACTGTCAGAGAAGAATTAGAATCAGCCGTAGGCAGGGACCTCAAGGAAATAATCATTGGCTCACATACAGGCACAGGCACACTGTGTAAGCTGGGACACATTCTCGGAGCCAAGTGAGCGGTATAGATGCTGAAGCAACCCCAGGAAAGGGAATCTATTAAAATTGGATGGGAGAAGGATGTGAGTAGGGAATCAGGAAGGAGGGTATCAGGGAGTAATTTAACATAAGCAGAGGGGTGGGGGTGGGGGTTCCAGAAGTTTTATATGGGCTTTGGAGCAGCTATCAGGTTGGAAGAGAAACTAGGCTTATCTTGAAGCAGGGAGAGCCTACCGCTTTCATTTAATGATAAGATTATATGCTTGTTTGGCGTGGATTTGAGGGCTTGATAGAGATTATGGAAGGAAGCCTCCCTCCCCGCCCCACTCCCCAAATAACCTACCCTTTGCTGAAACCACTGAAATCAAGGAGGCCAGACCATGGAGCACCACAGAAGACAAGCAGAGAAATTCCTACTTGTTACAAGTATTAGAGACAGAGGCACTGCCGGTTGCAGAAAGCAAGAGGGATTGCAGGAATTTGGGATTCGGCCAGCAATTTAGTGATCGTTAGTGTCATTCCTGGCTGTTGGCCGCATGTGTAGGGCACAGTGCTACCTCTGAGTGGTGACAAGAAGGTATGTGGGTGGGTGAGGCAGGGGCACGGGGTGTCTGGGGAGATGGAGGCAGGTGAGGTGAACTAGGAAGCTATTTCCTGTATTCAAGAGGGAGGAAATGAGGACCAGCCCCAGGCAGTGGGGATTAGAGCAGGGAGGATGAGGAACAGACACGAGACATTTCAAGGGAAGACCATGGAAAGCCTGGCTTCTGGATAGTAAAAGCAAAGGAAAGAAACCACAGTTGACCTTCCGATTCTAAGCTGGAGACTAAGACAACAAATAATTAATGATGCCTCCCACAAAAGACAAGGGAGGTTGAGAGAGAGCTGGTTTGTAAGAGAAGAAAGCGGTTTCAGCTTTGGGCCAGTTGAAATCAAGGCAAGCGATCCAAGTTCAGGAATAGAGCTGGATGAGAGGACACAACTGCACGTACAGATTGGAGGCTGTCATCACTCATAATTCTGGGCTTGCACCTCCGACACCTCCGCCCAAACCCGCGCTGCTATTCAATGCTTGCTTTTTAAAGCTTGTGGGCGGAAGCAACATCATGACCGGTTAAAAAGAACATTTGGAAGTAACTCTTTGAGGCTATTTATTCAAAATAAGTAGATCAAATGACACAAAGGTAGGACATCTGTGATGCTTTGGAGAGGAGCAGGAATTCTGTTTCAGAAATAAAGAGCCTGCTTTTACTGAAAAAGCACTAGGCTCCCACAAGCTATTCACCTGTTGCTCTTTTGGCATTCCTCAGGAGTCTGTGGCTGTCTATTATTTAGTCTTGGACGTGAAAGAATCGGACTGTTCAGTCCTATCCAGGAAACACTGGAATGACTGCAAGCCAGCTCTTTCTGCACATTTATCCGATATAGTAAGTAAGCAGGGTACCATCCTCTTCCTTTTATCCGCCTTGACCTCTGTTTACTCTGCTTACTCAGGGTGGCTGCCTGCCTGTGCTCATGCAGTGAAAAAGGAAGAGCAGATTTTGCCTCTTGACTCATGAAGACTATGTGTCTCTTGAGAGCCATACCTGGGATCCCAGTTCAAGATGAGTCCATGGGGATTGCGGTCCCATGGGATAACATGCCCAGCTGTGAGACCTTGGGCAAATTACCTAAGTTGCTAGACTTTTCCTCCTCAACTGTAAAATAACAGAAGGGGCTCTAAGATCCACTCAGGCCCTGACAGTCTATGGGCCTAAGAACCTATGAATTTGTGACTGTGTCCTACGAAGACTGACCCCTATGGCAGGAATAGCCAAAGGGATTAATGCAGTTACCTTGAGAACTAGGGTCTTGTTCTACATTGCATGTGGGCACTCAGATGGCAGACCCTCCACCACAGGAAAAGAACACAAAGGTCAATAAGCACATATATAAGATTTCAGTTCTAGAGAATAAGACATTTACATACCTAGGAGTCTTAGCACTTTTTTCCCTCAAAAATGTTTGGGATATGGTCATGATCTGTTTAAACCATTTCTCCCCAGCTCTCATGAGGCTTTTGGATGCCTATAGTACCCAGCTCACGGGAACAGACTAAGAAAATACAGGTTTTGAGAGAGGACTGGGTGAGAAAAAACAAAAATGAATCCTCAGTGGATAGTAGGAGTATGTGACATCACTTTTTGTCCCCTCCCCACATTCAACCCGAGGAAAGCAGTATGCAATGACATGAACCCTTTTCTCTTACAGGTGATCGGACAGTGTAAGGTAATAGCTACAAAGTGTTTGAATGAATCTCAGTATCTTAGAGTGAATGACTTTAACTGCACCACAAGTTCTGGTAAGGTCATCTGTTAAAATGCTAATTAATTCTAGATTAATGTAGAATTCAGTCGTACTGTGGTATCCATCATTTGATGCTAAGATATACATATCAGAAATGGTCCCTGCCTTCATGGATTCAATTATTTGATCTCTTCAGAAGAAAAGGGGGAGAGTTTCCTTCTGTTACAGATATACCTTCCTTTAAAGAAATTCAAGATACAAGAATAGAAATCTATGAGAGGCAGTGCAGCATAATTGTAGAGAATGTAGGCTCGGAGGTCAGATTTGAGTTTGAATTACAACTTCATCACTTATTAGTTGTATAGTCTTGAGGGCAACTTACTTAACCTCTTTAAACTTTCCTCCTTTGTAAAAGAAGGATAATCATAGTATTAGCCTTCTGGATCCTTCTTAGAATTAAGTAAGATGCTCTATGTAGTACACTTTGCAGAAGTGTACTACTCAGCCCTCAATTATTGATTTCAACATCTAACTGTTAGCTATAACTGTATAGTTCACAAAGCGGTTACACAGATGTTATCCCATTTCATCTTACAAGACTACGTGAGGTAAAGATTATGATACTTTCTATTTTAGAGATAAAATAACTGAAGCTCAAAGAGGTTCAATGACTTGGCCTTGGGAACACAGCCAAAATGTAATAAAGACATGATCCTATCACACCAGTGTTGACTCTAAATGCCATGCTCTTTTTATTTCTTTTTTCAAAAAGAATTACCACAAAGTTCCTTTTAAAAATGTCCATTTCAACATGATTCAATATATAAAAATTCAGCAACCAAGCAACTCCTTCAAGAAGTCACCTTGAAAAAAGGTTGACCTGTATCTTCTCTCTCTGGGCAAAACTGTGTTAATGATGCCTCTCCCTCCTTGGAGAGACAGGAGGAGTTTAGTGAAATAGTAACACTTTGTGAGTGACAGGAGGAGGGGTGTCTAAATGGGGTTACAGCAGAAACATAAGCATTGGAAGGATCTGGGTTTAAGTTTAGCTCTGCTGCTGATTGGCTGATTTGATCTCAGACAAATTACTTAACTTCTCCAACCCTCAATTTGAAAAATGGAAGCTATCATTACTCTTGCCACCATGCTTATGTATATTAAGTCCCGACATGGACAATGCTGGTTCCAACCAGGTACTACAAAGATGCCATCTTCTTTCTCCAGTCTCTTCAGCACTGGCCAATACTAAAGACAGTCCCATCCTATTTGACTTCTTCGAAGATACTCAGCCTTACAGAACACAAGCTGACAAAGCCCTTGAGAAGTACAAACAGGAGAATGGAGATTTTGCCTCTTTCAAAGTGGACCGGTTGGAGAGAGTTGTCAGAGCGGTGAGTCACTACTCACATCAGCTGGTGTCTGAGGGCCCAGCTCCAACCTGGCAGGTGCAGGACCCATGGCACTGGCCCTCTCCACTGGCCTCACACGTCCGGCTCCTTTCAAACTGAGGGCCCTGTTGCAGCCTCAATAGAATAAGGCTGCTTTACTGCAGTTTTCTAATTTTTGGAATTGTGGGAGTATAAATATCCATTGAAGAAGAGGGAAAACCCAGAAAGAAAAGAGGGAAAGACAGAAGAGCATTTTAGGGTTATGTGAGTCATTAAAAATCATCTGGTCCTAATCTCTTTGTATTATGATAGGAAACAGAGGCACCAGAAAAACCGTCTTGGCACACCCAGTGGTGTGGCTGAGGCCAGACAGTGCCCCTGCCTTCCAATCCAGGGGCCCAAGTGCCTCCCCTGCCAGAGTAGTCTTGCAAAGCAGCTCTTGGATGTCTGTCTTGCATTTTGCAAATGCCAAGTTAAGTAAATTATGGTGTGTACAACTCATGGAATGAACACAGCACAATCACTAAAGAGAATGTTTTGGGAGAGATTCCTAGGGGGAAAAGCAGGTTAGTGAACAATACTTAGACTCTGAGCCCATTTATGTTAATTAGATATACGTGTATATGGGCAACATATTTAGGAAAAGGCCAGGAGAAACAATCAAATAGGTGGTAGTGATACATCTGGGACAAAGAGATTGGGTGCAGGAAGGGTGATTTTTCACACTGTGCTGGCTTAGGTCTATATTATTTGACATTTTCAGTGAAATAGTATTTACCTTATCACTTATGTGATAAATTTTTAAAAGGCAGTGGCCATAAGAAAAAGGGCACATATTGGTGATTTTGAATCCCTGTGTTGCTTTACAGCATATTGGATAGTAGGTATCTACTGCCATTTTTTTTTTTTTTTTTTTACTCTTTATGTTCCTGAAACTGCTTTGATCCAATTTGTTCTAGAGAGGAGGGGAAAGAACCAATTACTATGTGGACTTCTCTGTAAGGAACTGCTCCGTCAGCCACCATTTTCACAGGCACCATAATGTGAGTATAATAAACATCTCTGAAGAACTAGGCAACATTTAGAGACCACCCACCATGTGTCAGGCACCCTTCCAAGTGCTTTACACATATGTTATTAACCCCACCACCTACGAGGTAGATATTATTATTCTCTCTCTTATGGATGGAGAAACTGAGGCACAGAGATGTTAAATGAATCATAAGAGTACGATTTTAGAATAAGCACAGTAACTACCTAAACTTAAGCCTGAGGTCTTTTCTAACCCACTAGGATTAAAGACTTAGCTAAAACTAATAACTGGCTTATGTTAAGAGCCTTCGTTCACTTCATCTCTTTTACTCCTCACAGTGACCCTGTGTGACAATAACAGAGGATCCGTAAAGTAAGGACCTAGCCCAATGCTCATAACCAAGCTGAGATTAGAATCCAATTCTCTTGATGCTCAGTCCCATGGGATTTGCCCCCTAATCATTTATAGGTGGATACTCATGTACCTGCAGAAAGATTGTATTAACAATATCCAACATTTGTAGGGTGACTTACAGTAACAAAACACCTCCATGTGTATTATTGCCTCATTGTATCCCTCTGACAACTGTGCTGAGAAGCAAATGTCTGCCCCATTTCCCTGAGACAGAAGGGCCTGGAAGTTTAACCAGTTGCCTAAGGGCAGTTAGCTAGAAAGTGTTAAGGCATAGGATCTTCACAGTGGCCTTCTGATTTCAAGTCCAGGATAATGGTGAGGTTTAACAATACATTCTCCAGGGCCAGAAGAGAGGAAGCGTTCATTAGTTCCTTTTCTGGCTGGTCAGTGTTCCCACCTGAAGCAGTTCTAGAATCCTGTTTAGTGGCCGCTAGAAGAGGTATCTACCTCTCCTACTCCCTTCTTCAACAAATCCTTCACTACCTTGGTGTGGGTAATGCAAACCCAGTGTAGAAATATGGCAGCTGGAGAACAGGGGTCTCAGTGCTAAGTGTTTTTGTAGCATTATCTCATTTAATTAAGCCCTCCTGTGACCTGAAGGTAGTTAGGAATTTTATGTAACTTGCCTAAACTCACACAACTAGTAAATGGTGAAGCCAGAATTCACGTACTTCTGTCTGACTCCAAAACTGATCTCAGAACCTCAGTGCTTAACTGTCTCTTTTAGGAAAGCATTTTCTTCTTGTCCTAGTCTAACTTTGACTGCTGGGTTTAGGAGCCTTTGGGACATAGGAATGCCAGCCAGTAGTAGCCTCTGTACTTAGGGTAGGGCCAGCAGATGGTCACTTTCACAAGGTCCAACAAATCCATCTTCATACTGGTTCCCTCCTTTCCAACACTTTCCTTCAAGAAGCTGAGTGAAACACCATTTGCTTCAACGTGGATGGAACTGGAGGGTGTTGTGCTGAGTGAAATAAGTCAATCGGAGGACAGGCATTGTATGGCCTCATTCATTTGGGGAATATGAAAAATAGTGAAAGGGAATAAAGGGGAAAAGAGAGAAAATGAGTGGGAAATATCAGAAAGGGAGACAGCACATGAGAGACTCCTAACTCTGGGAAACGAACAAGGGGTGGTGAAAAGCGAGGTGGGTGGGGGGTAGGGGTGACTGGGTGGTGGGCACTAAGGGGAACACTTGATGGGATGAGCAGGGTGTTATGCTATATGCTGACAAATTGAACTCCAATAAAAAAAAAGAAAACATTTCATTTAAAATTATAAAAAATAAAAGGGGGGGACTGGGTAAAGTTGTACAAATCCCACCGCTACACTACTCTTCATTCTCACTAGGCACAGGGAACTTGGGTCTTCATTGCAGAAGGCTTGGCCTAAAGACAAGGCATCAATGACGTGGTGCTCCTCAAGACTTCCAGTGGGGAAGCCCAGTGCTAGTGAGCACTCATGGAAGGGAAGCACAGCAACTTAGGGTGAACCACTTTGGAACTTGCACTTTCTCCAAGTATTGACTAGGAAAGATTGCTAAATAACTAGCGGAGATATTTGATAATATCACCCTGGTTTTTCTAAAGCTCATCTTCTTTCCCAAATGTCTAAAAGTTTGCAAGTCTAGCTGTGCAACTTCATACCACCTGCACACACACACAAATACATGCATACACACACTAATGGGCTTTTCTTTCTTTATAGGCCTTTGGATTCTGCAGAGCAGTTTTGTCCTATGATATAGAAGTCTCTGACTTAGAAAGTCCAAAAGACATTGCCATAAACTGTGAAGTCTTCAACTTTGCGGTGGGTTGCTTAAGTAGTCTTTGTGATGAGCAGTGCCAGGCTAAGAAATATTTTCACACACATAGTGTGTTTTGTTCCTATGGCTCTGGGGGGTGGTGGGAGACAGAGGCAGAGAGATGAGAGGGGGCTGAGAAGAAATACAGAGAGAATAGGCCCCTGGAGAAAGGGGTGCAATTGTTGATATGACACAAAAAGCATAAAAAAATTCCAATTGGGGAAATATCCAAATTGGGTAAGATTTGTAAAGTAAAATCATAACCGATTCAATCAATCTTTAATGAATTTGAAAATGGCCCTTGTGGGAATCCCTGGGTGGCTCAGCAGTTTAGCACCTGCCTTTGGCCCAGGGCGCAATCCTGGGGTCCCGGGATCAAGTCCCACGTCGGGCTCCCGGCATGGCCTGCTTCTCCCTCCTCCTGTGTCTTTGCCTCTCTCTCTCTCTCTATGTCTATCATAAATAAGTAAATAAGTAAATAAATAAATCTTTAAAAAAAAAAAAAGGAAAAGAAAATGGCCCTTGTAGTGAAGGTTCCAGTGCCGAGACTCAGTTCCTAGCTTTTATTATTAAGCATAGAACCTAAGGTGAATGAATTAACCTCAAACATATTATATAAAGGTACATAAAATAAGGCACAAAGCAATATTTCACATCTGTATCAGAAAGCTTTTCTGTATCAAGACATTCATCACAGTATTTTTCACATCAGCAAAAACTGAAAATAATCCAAATGTCCATGTGCCAAACTATAAAACAAAGTGGGGAGGGGCAGGGAAGGTTTATCACCATGAACCTGGCTCCACAGATTTTTTTTTTAACTAAAATCCGAACAAGAAGGAGGGTGAAGAGGTAAAATGCTTATCCTTTAAAGAGATGCTTATACCATAAGGCCTCAGAACTGTGTTAAAGATGTACATTATAAGGCACTAGTTTTCCAAATGTTGGTCTACAGAAAAGCACCATTCTATAATATAATTTCACCATTTTATGTTGAAATAGGAAAAATAAGAGTAATATGTATTTCATAATACAACATTTGTTCCATATAAAGAACCACCCTTTACTCTAAGGCATTTTTCTGACTCTTGTGTTATCGAAATATTATTCCAATTATGAAATAATGATGGTGGTAGATGCTAGTTTTTGTTTGTATCTTTTAAAGATTTGCTTATTTATTTTAAGGAGAGAGGGCTCAAGTGGGGGGAGAGGCAGAGGGAGAGAAAGAATCCTAAGCAGATTCCATGCTGAATGCAGAACCTGACGCAGGGCTTGATCTCACAATCCTGAGATTACAACCTGAGCTGAAACCAAGACTCAGACACTTAGCTGACTGAGCCACCCAGATGCCCCATTGTTTGCATTTTAAATGTCCATTTGGCTGGGTAAGAGTTTGAGAACAGTTTTTTGCTATCCCATTTTTAAAATTGATTTGTGAAATCCAAAAGTCTGGGAGCCATTGATCTAAATTGAGTTGCACACCTAACTTCTCCTTTTGTGTAATGGAATAATCACTTTTCTGTATCCTTTACCAGGAACATAGAAATTTCAGTGGTAAACACCACCATTTTGGCCATCCCCATGGACCTCCTCCTCATGGACCTCCTCCTCATGGACCTCCTCCTCATAGGCATCATCCCCATGGACCCTGTCCCCATGGACCCCCTCCCTTTGGGCCCCCTCCCCATGGACACCCTCCTCATGGACACCATCCCCATGGACACCCTCCTCATGGGCACCATCCCCATGGACCCCCTCCCCATAAACACCATCCCCATGGACACCATCCCCATAAGCATCATCCCCATGACCACGATTTCCTTGACCATGGGCCTTGTGACCTACCACCCCATAGCCAAAGTCCCCAAGATCACCATCGCCAGGGCCAGGGCCCACCACCTCAGCACTCAGAAGAAAGAGGTCCAGGTAAAAGGCACTTTCCCTTCCACCGGAGACAAATTGGATATGTTTACCGGCTCCCTCCACTAAAGAAAGATGAAGTTCTTCCTCTTCCCGAAGCCAATTTTCCCAGCTTCTCATTGCCAGACCACAGCCATCCTCTAAAGCCAGAGATCCAGCCCTTCCCTGAATCAGTTTCTGAATCATGTCCAGGGGTATTTAAGAATGACTTTTTAAATATCTCAAAATTTTTTGCATACTCACTTCCAAAATAAAATTTGATTTTCTCGATGGGGAAAAATTAATGTTCTGACTTAGAGCCATAAATAAAATACAACCAATAATGAAAGCAAAATTCAAGTATTTTTACCTTATTTTTATATTCAGAGTAAGGAAAACGTGGGTGGGGGAGGAGATGGCATGAGAAGAGAGAGACGAATGGAGAGGAACTATGTCAGTGCTGCAAGTCAGTGACAGATCACTAAATCCTTGCCGCAGATCTCTGACCCTCTTTCTTTCGTGGATTTAACTCTAATTCTAGAGGCTTTCCTCACTGAGTACTTTCACTGTAGCTGGGCATACCAAGAAGGCATGTTTTAGCAGTCAAAGGACTATTCTTCTAACACAAAATTCAAATTCTCGGGATCCCTGGGTGGCTCAGTGGTTGAGTGCCTGCCTTCAGCTCAAGGTGTGATCCTAGAGTCCCCGGATTGAGTCCCACGTTGGGCTCCCTGCATGGAGCCTGCCTCTCCCTCTGCCTGTGTCTCTGTCTCTGTCTCTGTCTCTGTCTCTCTCTCTCTCTCTCTCTCTCTCTGTGTGTGTGTGTGTCTCTCATGAATTAATAAATAAATAAAATCTTTTAAAAAATATTCAAATTCACGGAGGGGGACACTTGACGGGATGAGCACTGGGTGTTACTCTGTATGTTGGTAAATTGAACACCAATAAAAATTAATTTATAAAAAAAAATATTCAAATTCTCTCTTATTATTTCTAGATCTCTAAATTTCCTTTTGAAAAAAAAAAGTTCCAAATTCAATTATGAGGCAATAAAGGCTTGGGCTATGAATTGCAAAGAATACCACAGGTATGAATCGTGACCATAATTTCAGGTGCACAAGAAATATCACTCTATTTTCAGAAAAAAATTAGTTTCCATTTCAGGTTGCCATCCTAGTAGGTTAATAGGAGACTTAACCTCAGTCCTTGGAGCTCCCTCACCTGCTACTCCCCGTGCAAAGTTGTGCCACCATTCAAGAATTTCATGTCGTGCCAAGTGTTTGGGTGGTGGGCATAAAGGGGAGTTCTGACTCTTCATCACTGGTCCACTAGCTCTCTCCTGCTGGGAGATGCTTACGACCCCATGCACATCCTTCTTTGGGTCTAGTTTATCAGCTACTCCTGAGTCACAGTGAAGCTATCAGAGCCTCTGCAAGGCTGCTAATGAACATGTTTGCCCTGGGCTATTCTCTCCGTGAGATCTTGCTGCCTTCCTGGCTACGTGGCCAGAAAGCAGGGTAGAGGTGTTCTCTGCTTGAGGCCTCCCAGAGATCTCTGCTCTTCTCAGATCTTCCCTCCAGGCTAAGGGCACTCTAGTCTCCGGTAACTTCTCTTTATTCAGTTTTTGTGCCAAATGACTTTTTCTACCATTAAATCCTTTTTCTTTTCCCTTTTTCCCAAATCAGGGCTCAAGCATTTAGACAAGGGCTAATAAGACTTTGGGCTCACTACCTGACTTACCGAAGCAGTTGCAGGTACATAGTGATGGCAGAAAGTAGAAGTGTGTGTGTGTGTGTGTGTGTGTGTGTGTGTGTGTGTGTGTGTATCTGGGCCAGGGGATGGGGGCAGTATATAGGGGGGAAAAAACAAAGGCCAAGAGAGATATGGGTAAGTTGTTAGGCTGGGAAAAAAGAGGGGCCCCCAAAGAGACAGAAGCTAAAGCTGGGAGAGTAAGGAAATGTGTAGCAGTGTGCAGTACAGGAGGAGCTAGAATCAGAACTTGTGGTTTATCAGAAAGGCTCCTTAGGCTTGGTGAGTAGACATCCAAATCCATCACATCAGAAACAAGAAGCAAGGATGGGGGACACTGGGCTTCACTCAAATCATCTCTTCTTATGCTTCCCTCCTGTCTCCTTCTCCCTGGGGAGCATTTTCTTTTCTAAAATCAATACAGTTGAGTGGAGAGAGGCTGACTTGACCAGAGACCAGATAGGATGCCCATATTTTAACTTTGGTTGCACCAGTGTCCTGGTGTGGGACTCCTACCATGCACTATGTCCCTGTGCGTGGGCTCCGCAGGCATGCCATGCAATTGGTAGCAGCCCGTTTTTTCTGCAGCTAGATATCTTGCAAAGAAATGATTGAAAGGTATCTGTACGTTGTACTCATTGTTGTCCCATGTAGTGACCTTCATAAAGGACTTTGGGAAAGTCACTTGGGAAAGGGAATAACAGGTGATTGCTGGTTTTTCCTCCTCCTTTATTAGTTTCTGTTCTGATTTGTTATACAGCATTGTGCAATCACCTGGAAATGTGCCCTGTGCTCCCACGTGCGTCTTGAATGCAAACAAGCAGGTCAACAACCCTGGTGTTGTAATGTCTCCACCTGAAATCTGCTTGGATAACAGAGTCTTTGGAAATAGGACAAATAGTGTGTGGCAGCAGGAACCCACCAGGATTCGGAGCACTGAGGCAGAGAGACAAGAGTACAGAGGAGATAAAGGGCTGGAAATTGCTAAAATCAGCATCCAAGTTGGCACCAGATTCTTGGTGAAACCCTTCCTCAGCTCCTGGAAGGAGACCGCTAAACCATGAAACTACTTGCTATGCTTTTTCTTTGCTCCAGGCTGCTATCAAGTTTAACCCAGGAGTCCCTCTCAGAAGAAATCGACTGCAATGATGAGGATCTATTTAAGGCTGTGGACACTGCACTACAGAAATATAACAGTAGAAACCAAAGTGGCAACCAGTTTGTGTTGTACCGTGTAACAGAAGGCACCAGGACGGTGAGTGAGCTGTGTTTTACCCTGAGACCATTTGAGATACGTGCTGTCACGCGGAGCCCAGTCCCCCTCACCCCCTTCAGCAATCACCAAAGAACTGAGAAGCAAAGGTAGAAGCTTATAGCGCATAGAAAAGATCAACACCACTCTTTGCCCCAGGGGTGCCGGGCAGGGTATGATTAGACCTTGGGCGACCAAGCTTGGCTTCCTGGGTGATCAGAAAAGCAGGGTACAGTGAGACAAAGGTAGATGGGGTCATTTGAAAGAAACTATGCAGAGTAGGAGAATCAAGGAACTCAACTGGACCGCAGCAAAAGGATGGGTGACCAGCGGTAGACCACAATATGAAGACCTCTAGACTTCAGGGGGGAGGGGCTGCTCACGTTGAAGAAATACTATATGATCATGTTTACGTATGGAATCTAAAAAAGCCTAACTCACCCAAGCAGAAAGTGGAATGGTGGTTGCCAGGGGCTCAGGCTGGGGGAAATGGAGGACGCTGGTCAAAGTATACAAACTTCTGGTTATAAGATGAGTAGGTCCTGCGGATCTAATTTATGGCATGGTGACTAGAGTTAATTATACTGTCTGTGTGGCTGAATGCATCAAGAGTAACAGCGATGTTCTAGATGGCTTTTAATATTTTTTATAACTAATTGATGCACTCATGTTGGAGACAAATCCTGACAGTGTGTGTGATTTCAAAAAATACAAATCTTACAGTAGTTTAATTGAATTTCACTCTAAAATTCTGTGCCTATGATAGTTGGTAGCTGTTACTTTGGCAGAGGAGAAATGTCCAGTCATTTGATATGATCAGGGTAAAGGAAAAAGCCCAGTGAACATAATTTTTTTTCCTGAAAGTAAAATTGAGGCATTCTGTTTCACAAACTAGTACAATGATGTAGACATTTGGTCCTGGTCCTTTCAAGTAACAGTTGATTGATGGCCTCTTCATTGGCTGACATCCATGACAAATGTAGTTTTTTGTTCTAAAACATCCATAGAATTACACTTTACCTTTGCTTTGCCATATGGGCACCATCTATACCTCCACTGCCTAGTTCTTGAACAAAATCTGAGACCTGGAAGAAACGTGGGAGATTATCTTGATGGTCATCCCAGATACAAATAATGTGATGCAAGTAGGCTCTGAGAGTCAAGAGACTTGGGATACGGGGCCAGCTCTGCCTTTCCAAAATGCGGGGGCTGCCTCAGCCCTGCCCATCTACTCGGGGCCTCCTTTCTCTCACCTACAAAGTGAAGGAAGGGCTAGACATCTTCACCTCTCTCGTCCCTTGCTGTTTGACATGTCAGGATTTTACATCTGGAAGGCTCACCTAACTTACCACCTTTGCACTTTTTTTTTTTTTTGGAAAAAAGTATAGTTGTAGTTGACACAGAGTATTACAGGTTATAGTTCAGGTATACAACACAGAAATTTGACAAGTCTATATATTATGCTGTGCTCACAAGTGTAGCTACCATCTGTCACCATACAACACTACTACAGTTATCATTGACTCTATTCCCTGTGCTATGCCTCTCAATCCCATGACTTGCTCATTCCATACCTGGAGGCCTGTATCTCCCAAGCCCCTTCACCCATTTTACTCATCCCCCCACCCTCCTCTGCGCTGGCAACTGTAGTTTTTTCTCTGTATTTAGGAGTCTGTTTCTGCTTTTTGTTTGTTTATTTATCTCATTTTTTTAGATTCTACATATAAGTGAAATGATATTGTATTTGTCTTTCCCTGTCTGGTTTATTTTCCTTAGCATAATACCCTCTAAGTCCATCCATGTTGTCATAAATGGCAAGATCCCATTCTTTTGTATGGCTAAGTAATATCCCATTATACATACCATATGTGTGTGTGTGTGTATAGATAGATAGATAGATAGATAGATAGATAGATAGATAGATAGATATGTGTGTGTGTGTGTGGATATATATATATGTGTGTGTGTATGGATATATACGTGTGTGTGTGGATATATATATATGTGTGTGTGTGTGTGGATATATATATATGTGTGTGTAGATATATATATGTGTGTGTGTGTGTGTGTGTGTGTGTGTGTGTGTGTATAACCCTGGCTATATCAAACTGCACAAGATCCGGGCAGCCCAGAACATCTCTAAGACGATCACTACATCGCAGAACCGTATCTATCTCACTGCTGACAACCTCATCTTGAACCTACAGGATGAAAGTTATATATACATATGTATAAATGTACACACACACACACACACACACACATATATATATATATCTTCTTTATCCATCCATCTATTGATGGATGTTGGAGTTGCTTCCATATCTTGGCTATTGTAAATAATGCTGCAATAAACATATGGATGCATATATCTTTTCACATTACGTTTTTGTTCTCTTTGGGCAAGTACCCAATAGTAGATTGCTGGATCATATGGTATTTCTATTTTTAATTTTTAAAAGATTTTATCTATTTACTCGACAGAGAGAGAGAGAGAGAGAGAGGGCACAAGCAGGGGAAGCTTCAGAGAGAGAGGGAGAAGCAGGCTCTCCATTGAGTAAGGAGCCCCGACATGGGGCTCAATCCCAGGATCCCTTGACCATGACCCAAGCCATCGGCAGACACTTAACCTACTGAGCCACCCAGGCACCCCTATTTTTAATTTTTTAAGGAAACTTCATACTGGTTTTTTATGGTGGCTGAACCAATTTATATTCCCACTCACAGAGCAAGAGGGTTCCTTTTCCTCCATGTCCTCACCAACATTTCTTATTTCTTGTCTTTTTGATTCTAGTCATTCTGACAGGTGTTAGGTGATATCTCATTGTAGTCTTTAATTGCATTTCCCTGATTATTAGTGATATTTAGCATCTTTTCAAGTGTCTATTGGCCATCTATATGTCATCTTTAGAAAAATGTCTATCCGGGTCCTCTGCTTATTTTTTAATTGGATTGTTTATTTGACATTGAGTTATATATGTTCTTTATATATTTTGGATGCTAACCCTTTATCAGATATATAATTTGCAAGTATCTTCTCCAATTCAGTAGGGTGCCTTTTCATTTTGTTGATGGTTTTCTTTGCTGTGCAAAAGCTTTTTATTTTAGTGTGATCCTAATAATTTATTTTTGCTTTTGTTCCCCTTGCCTGAGAATACATATCTCGAAAGATGTTGCCAAGATCAATGTCAGAGAAATTACTATGTTTTCTCCTAGGAGTTTTATATTTTCAGATCTCACAAGTCTTTAAAGTGCCTTTGCACTTTAAAAGTTTTATTTATTATCTCATTCATGCTAGAAAAAATAGAAAAACTAAGGCAAATAAAAATACTAAAGTTACCAAAAATTGATCCACCATCCAGAGATAAATGCTAACATTTTTTAATGAAAAGTGGCCTCCTGTGTTTTCTTACTGTAAAAGAAATATATTTTATTTTTTAAAAAGACAACTCACAAACATTTGTTTGAAGAAGTGGGACAACCATACTCCCACCACCGAAAGACATTTTAATAGCTTTGCTTTATAACTTTCCAGACTTTTAAAAGTCACAAATTGGTTTCTATAAAAATGGGCTAATACTATGGATACCACTTTGTAACTTACAAATATCTAGGTGTAAATATATTATGAACATTCTTCCAAGTAAATATTTATAACTTTCAGTATTTTTAATAAATATTTTGCTCTCTTTGAATTAAGTCAAGATCAAACATTCATACCTGCATTGGAGCCCACTCAAATTATTTGCTGTTGGGTCAGTGATGTGTGTCTTTGGTTGCTTTTTTTCAGGATGACCCTGACACATTTTATTCCTTCAAGTACCAGATCAGGGAAGGAAATTGTTCTGTTCAAAGTGGCAAAACCTGGCAGGATTGTGACTACAAAGAATCTACACAAGCTGTAAGTGGGTTGACGGTTCCTGAACCCCCGGTGTTCTCTGTTGAGACTGGCAGTTTTTTTTGTTTTGTTTTGTTTTGTTTTGTTTTTACTAGAGCTGAAGATGGTTAGTATAGTTAGGCCCTTTGTAAGGGACGCATATAAACCCTCAAATATGTAGAAAAGGCAAGTGTTTGTTGTCTGTGTTCTCAGGCTCTGTGTCAGAGCACAAAGCCCAGCAGTTAAATATAGAGAAAGTCCTCCCATGAGAAGGGGACTCTATCGACCAACTGGGGCAGTAGACCAGGCCCCAAAGAGACAACAGATCAACATTTGGGCCAAGATCCAGGGCTGGTGAAGGGACAGCATGGGTGCTTTATTCGCATGGGCTCTGCCTCCAACTAGCAGACCCCGGAGAACCTGTGTGCTGCCTCCTGAAGGGGAGCTAACAACGGCCTCATCGGATTGTTGGAGGATGAAATGAGACACAGTATGCCAAGAAGCTTCTTTTGATAACAATGGCTATCAACGTGCCTGGCACAGCGCAGCTGGTTGTTTTGCCTTAATGAGGGGGGTGTGGGGACAGTGTGTGCCCAGAAGCAGGCCGCGGGGTCCGCCCCCAGCATGTCACAGCGCTGGCCTCCTGCACGCGGTTTCAACACCCAAATGGGAGGTCAATCAAGAGGAGAGTTTAACGGGCCGGCTCTAAGGCGCTGCATCATTTTGGTGAAAAGAAAACTTGCTTTAAAACCTCACCTTCTGGGCAGCCCGGGTGGCTCAGCGGTTTAGCGCTGCCTTCAGCCCAGGGCGTGACCCTGGAGACCCGGGATCGAGTCCCACGTCGGGCTCCCTGCGTGGAGCCTGCTTCTCCCTCTGCCTGTGTCGCTGCCTCTGTGTCTCTCATGCATAAGTAAATGAAATCTTTAAGATAAGTCAAGCCTCGCCTTTTGTACTGTCTCCCCTCCAACGGCTCGTGGAGGTCAGTGGCTTGTAAGGATAATCCTTAGGCTACAAAAACTCATTCTTGGGCCTCAAAACTGTTTTTTACAAAAAATCCTGGCAAGTTTAAAAGAAAGGCAAAGCTATATTGAGCCACAGTACGAGGTGGATTTCCCACCTGAAAGGTGGAGATAAATGGCCTCTCTCTCTTTTTTTTCTTTGCAGGCCACGGGAGAATGCTCCGCGACCGTGGGGAAGAGAGGGCAAACGAAATTCTCCGTGGCTACGCAGACCTGCCAAATCACTCCCGGTGGGTCTTTCCGGTAGCAGAGCAGTAGCAGGCCGGTGTTGGGTCCCGCACACTCGGGGAGAGCCCCCAGGAGGCGCCCGGACTCCCCCACGGCTTCCCCTCCTGCGGCCCGAGCTTCTGCTGACCCGTGGGTTAGGGCTCGGGGCTAGGGACCTTCCTTGGTAACTTCAGACAGACGCATTCCTCGTCAAACACCTGACGTCGGCTTCTTGCCCCTTCAGAGCCCCCCGCCCCCGTTCTCCCAGCAGGCCTTCTTCTGGCCTCCAGACGGCCCGAATACGCGGAAATAACAGGGAGAGCGCCCAGACGCGTCTTCCCGAGGGAGCCCGGGACCCCGGCCTCCAAGCCGGCTGGAGACCCGCAGCAGAGGACTCTACTGACCACACGCACCCGGCCGCCCCCTCTGCTTCCTGCTCTAAGCTCGGGCAAAATGGACATATACCGTGTTCCACACCACTGTCCCTGACTCAGCCTGCTTTCTCGGAGCCGTCCTCCTCCTCCGGCCTCCTATCTCCTCCTCCCTCCTCCCGGCTCCTCCTCACATCTCCTAGCTCCTCCTCCCACCTCCTGGCTCCTCCTCACATCTCCTAGCTCCTCCTCCCACCTCCTGGCTCCTCCTCACATCTCCTGGCTCCTCCTCACATCTCCTAGCTCCTCCTCCCACCTCCTGGCTCCTCCTCCCACCTCATTATCTCCTCCTCCCTCCTCCTGGCTCCTCCTCACATCTCCTGGCTCCTCCTCACATCTCCTGGCTCCTCCTTCTATCTCCTAGCTCCTCCTCCCACCTCCTGGCTCCTCCTCCCACCTCATTATCTCCTCCTCCCTCCTCCTGGCTCCTCCTCACGTCTCCTGGCTCCTCCTCACATCTCCTGGCTCCTCCTTCCATCTCCTAGCTCCTCCTCCCACCTCCTGGCTCCTCCTCCCACCTCCTATCTCCTCCTCCCTCCTCCTGGCTCCTCCTCCCACCTCCTGGCTCCTCCTCACATCTCCTGGCTCCTCCTCACATCTCCTAGCTCCTCCTCCCACCTCCTGGCTCCTCCTCCCACCTCATTATCTCCTCCTCCCTCCTCCTGGCTCCTCCTCACATCTCCTGGCTCCTCCTCACATCTCCTGGCTCCTCCTTCTATCTCCTAGCTCCTCCTCCCACCTCCTGGCTCCTCCTCCCACCTCATTATCTCCTCCTCCCTCCTCCTGGCTCCTCCTCACATCTCCTGGCTCCTCCTCCACCTCCTATCCTCCTCCTCCTCCTGGCTCCTCCTCCCACCTTCTGGCTCCTCCTCCCACCTCCTATCTCCTCCTCCCTCCTCCTGGCTCCTCCTCCCACCTCCTGGCTCCTCCTCCCACCTCCTATCTCCTCCTCCCTCCTCCTGGCTCCTCCTCCCACCTCCTGGCTCCTCCTCCCACCTCCTATCTCCTCCTCCCTCCTCCTGGCTCTTCCTCACACCTCCTGGCTCCTCCTCCAGCATCCTACTAGCTCCTCCTCACAGCTCTTGTCGCCTGGTTGACCTTGACTACTGTTCACCCTTCTAAGCTCAGGTCTGTTCTCCTCAGGAAAGTTTTCCCTGAGCCTGCTCTGGGCTCCTGATTTTCCAAGCTCCTGCCGAATTATACTGAGATGATCCGTCTGCAGTTCTGTCTCTCTCACTTGACTTTACTCAACTGCTTCACACCAGTGACCATCACTAGCGAATTAATGTACCCACAGCCTAGCTCAGCACCTGGCTCATTACAGCAGTTGCAAAACATGTTTGTTGGATCGAAGTGATACAGAATGCTATACCCTGAACTGGGCTTCAAGGAGCTTTAATTATGCTAAAAATAAATAATAATGTATCTGTTATGTTTTATTTTTCTAAAAAAAAAAAAACATTTATTTTAGAGAGGGTGCGAGAGTGCAGGGGTGGTGGGGTGGGGCGTGGAGGGACAGAAGGAGAGAGATTCTCAGACTCCCCACTGAGCATGAAGCCCCACATGACAGGGGGCACCGTCTTAGATGGATCCTGAAATCATGACCTGAGCAGATATCAAGAGTAGAACACTTAATGGATTGAGCCACCCAGGTGCCACAGTGTTTTGCTTTTTATAAGAGGATAAAACCCATGTTGCTTCTATAATTTAAAATTACTTTTAAGTAAGATTCTAAAACATTTTATTTATTCAAGAGACACACAGAGACATAGGCAGAGGGAGAAGCAGACTCCCTGTGGGGAGCCTGATGTGGGACTCAATTCCAGGACCCCAGGATCACGACCTGGGCAGAAGGCAGAGGCTCAACCCCTGAGCCACCCAGGCATCCCACTTTTAAATAATTTTAAAATAACTGTGCACAAAATTATGCATGTAAGGTGTTCCTAGGCAAATGAGAGGTTTATTGTGCTGACTAGAAAGCAATCTTGCATCCTCTTTTTTTTTTTTTTTTCCACATAGTAGGATTTACTGGAAAGTTTATGAGGGCCTTCTAAGTTATCTTACGTATTTAGGGCAACGTATCTAAATGTAGGTTTCACTCATTAATGCTGCCCCTTTGCCTGCTCTTTGTCAAGCCGAGGGTCCTGTGGTGACAGCCCAGTATGACTGCCTTGGCTGTGTGCACCCCATCTCAATTGCAAGCCCTGAGCTGGAACCTGTCCTAAGACACGCCATCGAACATTTTAACAACAACACGGATCGCTCCCACCTCTTTGCTCTTAGAGAAGTGAAAAAGGCCCACAGACAGGTTTGTTCTTTAACTTCATTTCGCACAGGAGTCAGTATTACATGTTCTTTGTAGAAACGGCGAAATGGAAAAAGTTACTCTGTCCTTCGGGTTTCAAGAAAACTGTATCATCACCCAGCTGTCATAAGTCAAACATGGCTCTAAAAATTAAATTTTACCTAAAAAGTTGGCACAGCTTTCTGGATATCCTCTAAATTCTAGGTTCACTGGGGGGATAAAAAAGTAAATACTTGTAAATCTGGTCTTTTCATTGCCTCAGTTCCCTGAGCCTTTACTGATAGTTGACTGGGCCCTTGTATTTCAGCCTCCAATTACAAAGGACTCACTTGGGTCGGTAACATACCCTGCTTTTTTTTTTTTTTTTTTTTTTAACATACCCTGCTTTTAATAGACCTTCCAGCTCGTTTTCATGCAACACCTGGGCTCTGCCCAGTTATGTCCCTATCCAGTCGTGTCAGGGCGCAACTAGCTCAGGATGAACCAGGAGAAATCTTATTGCCTGGCAGTCTGGGAACCTGAGGTCCTACCAGTAAAGGCCACCCAAGCTCCAAAGTTTTCTTTAGCCATCTAGAATAGCACTATTAATATTTCACAGATTCAATGGAAGCTTTCCTTCCTGCTGCCTAGAGAAGAAACACTGCTAGGTCTTCCTTAGGGAAATGGAATGACTCCACATGTATATTGTGCTCCATTGTTAGATGTGTAGGAGTGTGGTGGGGGCGGGGGCTGTGTGGAGGAAGTGAGATTCATAAAGTGTTTGCTAGTTCCTGACAAAGGACTTCTGCCTAGAAGGATCATCGTTCATATTCTTGAGTACGTATGATAGGCCACGCAGCATTCTCTGTTCCTCATGATGCTGTCAGTGGTGTTTAAGCTGCCTTTTAAATATTTGATCCAGGGATCCCTGGGTGGCGCAGCGGTTTGGCGCCTGCCTTTGGCCCAGGGCACGAACCTGGAGACCCAGGATCGAATCCCACGTCTGGCTCCCGGTGCATAGAGCCTGCTTCTCCCTCTGCCTGTGTCTCTGCTTCCTTCTCTGCATCTCTCATGAATAAATAAATTTAAAATCTTTAAATAAATAAATAAATAAATAAATAAATAAATAAATAAATAAATAAATAAATATTTGATCCAAAACTGTTTCAGGTGGTGACCGGATGGAACTATGAAATTACTTACTCAATTGAGCAGACGAATTGTTCCAAGGAGAATTATCTATTCTTAACTCCAGACTGCAAGTCCCTTCTGAATGGTGTAAGTAGGCAACAATCTAATTATAAAGTTCTTAGCATTTTGTGTCTGGTCTTTCCAGGTGTGGGAACCCTCAGCTATGGAGAAAGTCTCAGTCGCTAAAATGTTAGATGGTATTTACCGATTCACATTCCCTTGGGAACTCCGAAGCTCTCGTACTGATCAAGCTGCCTTACCCACCTAGTCAAAGAGTCTGCACACCCTAGCAGAGCACTTACAGATGTCAGCAGGGGCTAGGAGAGCCTGAAACAAAAAGATGACATGATCAAGTTGTCTTTTCAGGCCTTCCCTTTCCTGTCTCCGTTTCTTCTCCATGTGCCCGATGTCCTTACTCCCAAGCTCTACTCAGAACAGTCCCTCACCTCCAACTTGTCTCTGCTTGCTTTCTTACCTTTCCTTCCCTGCCTTTATCTCTAATAAACACATCCCAAGTCTCTATCCCCCAGTGACCCTTTCTGGGATGCTATCCTGTTGTCTGAACCAAAATTATGTTCAAAGAGAATCCTGTACATCATATGAAAGTATGATTGAAATATATCTTTATTATGCTATTCAAGCCTTCTATGACCTTATTTTTTTTTAATCCATCTGGCCTGTCTTAGATTTATGGTGTACATTAATTTTTCCCACCACAACGATTTTTATCCATTTCTATTCCTATATGTTTTCTGCTTTATTTATCCTGATTCTGGGCTTCTATACTACGTGTTTTATAAAAATAAAATAATCAGGATGCCTGGGTGGCTCAGCGGTTGAGTGTCTGCCTTTTATTCAGGGCGTGATCCCAGAGCCCTGGGATGGAGTCCCGCATCGGGCTCTCTGCATGGAGCCTGCCTCTCTCTCTGTGTTTCTCATAAATAAATAAAATCTTTAAAAGAAATAAAATAAAATAATCTTTCTTGCTATCTTTGTGAGTTTTTCATTATCCTGAATTTTACTTTTTCCAGTATTAATGATACTTTAGCTCTTATTTTGTCATATTTGCCTCCTATAGCTTTGCTCATCCAATATATTTAAATTTGAACTTTTTTATTATAAGATATTATACTTGAAGATGTAATACATTAATTTTGTTTTTAGCTTAATCTAAAAGTCTTGCCTTTTTAAAAGAGAATTGTATCTGTTCACTTATATGGTTATTATTTCTCTACTAGGTATTCTTGTCATCTTGATTCACATTCCTATGGGCTTGCCACTATGTGTTTGTTGTTGATACTGTTAACTAATTGTTTTTTATTTTCACTTTGCAATCAGACTATATTTTGTTTTCATTTTCTATGTGATGATTTGTAAGGCCAACATCCTATTTTGAGTTATACAAGTTGTTTATGTTAAAGGTTCTTTTTTTTATGTTAAAGGTTCTTAAAAATGTTTTTTTACTTTTTGTATTTATATATATTTTTAAAACCAGGATATCGGTGAATGTACAGATCATGCACACATGGATCTTCAGCTAAGAATTGCTTCTTTCTCGCAGAAGTGTGAACTCTTTCCAGGTATGAGGTGATACATATTAATGCTCTACTACTGCCTGTTGGTCACTGACAGCTGGCAAGGTCTTTCCCCAGGAGTTGTGCTTTGGTTTCCATGTCATGCCACAAAGTTTAGCTGATTGGCAGACCTTTCCAAGAACACCTGACCCCATCTCTGCTCACCTGTGCTGCAGCAGGATGCAGCTTACACTGCTCTGCAAGTAGCCAGGAGGGAATATGGTGACCACAAGGCAAAATGGCCGGCCGCTGGGTACAACACCAGCTGATCTTCCTTGTGTGCAACATGTCCCTATGTCAAGTGCTGTAAATTGGGAAAGCTGCATCCCATTTTTAACCACTTAGAGTAAAATCTTTTCAATGAAAGATTTTTTTTTTAACCTACATGTTTTAATGGAGGGGAAGGGAAATACTGCAAGATTATATAAGGTCAAGTCCTCATTTCTTATACCAAGAGTTGGCTTTTCTCATTCCTGAGAGATAGTTGGATGCATTCCATGATAAGAAGCACTACTGAAGCTGCCTCCTCACCAGAATCATAGGACTTAAAATTTTCCCACTAGAGAGTCATTCCTTTAAGTAAGATTTGCTCTTTACAAGTTCTATCAAAAATACAAAAACTTAGGAAAAGTACAGTGTATTGAATGAGCCACTGACATCTACTGATTAAATGTTTCCGTAAACACACTTGGCTCTGAGAAGAGGGAAAGAGAAGAGGCCACTAAGGTAAAAGTCAGACAGACAACCTCTACACACTTACTACTGAGCCTTGGGCTGTCCCATGACCCTCTATATATGAATGTCAGATCACATGCAGGGGAGCTACTGGGCTAGACTTTTCCTTCCCCTGCACATGCTAACTTAAAACCTGTTTCTTTCAGGGGAAGATTTTGTACAACCACCTTCCAGGATTTGCCTTGGCTGCCCCAAAAAAATACCTGTTGACAGCCCAGAGCTGGAGGTGCCTCTGAATCATTCCATTGCAAAGCTTAACTCTGAGAATAATGGAACTTTCTATTTCAAGATTGAAAGTGTGCAAAGTGCAACAGTACAGGTCTGTAAATTATGCTACAAAAGTAGTGATGTTATAGCCTATGTGCAAATTGCTGACTCGTTTTGCCATTGTCCTTGGCTCTGCACAGGGAACCAGCATACCTGGGGAATAGGTTTTGGGAGATTTGAATTTCAAGTGCCAGCCTCGCTGCATTCTTTGTGTGTGATCTCAGGAAAGTCACTTCAAACATGTTATTCCATTTTCTATCTGTAAACAATAGGGGTGAGGATCAAATAAGAACATATAATGTCAAAAAAAAAGAACATATAATGTCAAACATTTTTCAAACTCCAAAGTGCTCTGTAATTACTAGCCACTATTATATAATGAACAAAATTCAGTGCAAGACTTACTCTCTACCTTTCTAGACTCATTCTCATAGTAGTATTGCTTAGTGCCTTGGGCTTGGCCTCATTGATCTGTCATTGTCCAGACTCTTCACATTCTCACCTGCATGTCATTTCTACCCTGCCTTGAGTGCCTTTCCCTCCTACAGATGTACCCTCTGGGAATTCATCTCTCTCTCTCTATGCCCTGTCAATAGAGGCTAAAGAGTGTCCTATTCCGGGGGTCAGGAGACCCAGCTCTACCAAAACACCACCACCATCCTGAGTGACCTTGGAGCCACTCGGACTCACTCAACTCTTGTTGAAAAGTAAACTCTGAAAAATGAGTGGCTGGATTACTAGACCCAAATTCATTCCACTCCAGCAGCCTATAACCAATGTTTTTATGGGCAAAGTCCCATGATAGATCTCACAACTGGCTTCCCTAAATACCAGCTAAAGAAAAGTAATCAAAATAGAACCACACTTTTACACCAAAATAACATGATCTTTATAAACTGGTGAAAGAAGTATCACTAAAAAAAAAAAAAAAAATCATGCTTTTGGCTCAATATTGAATTTGTAGAAATATAAACTACAAGGAGTCCTGGGCTGTCTGGGTGGCTCAGTGCTTGAGAGTCTCTGCCTTTGGCTCAGGTTGTGATCTCGGGGTCCTGGGATCAGGTCCCGCATCAGGCTCACAGCAAGGAGCCTGCTTCTCCCTCTGCCTATGTCTCTGCCTCTCTCACTGTCTCTCATGAATAAATTAATAAAATCTTTAAATAAATAAACTAGGAGTCCTTATATACAGTGATATTCATTGCAGCTTTAACTATAACTCCCCCAAAAAAAGGTAAACTATCAAAATGATCAATAATTTAGAAATGATGAGCTCTATCTGGCATATCCTTACAAAGGAGTATTAAGCAGCAATTTGAAAGCATCTTTGTGAGGCTCTTGGTGCGGTCAGTGACTTGTGTTAAAATATGCAGTGAAAAACAAGAGGCCATAAAGCTGAGCATGTCTTCTGTCCTCAATTGTGTCATTAAAAAGCACAGAGGACAATACTGAAAAGAAACAAATGCCTTAGACTATTCACAGTGCTGGTTTTTAGGTGATGGCACAATGGGCTCTTTATGTTCCTCTTTCTAGTTTCCTGTTTTAGTTTTAAAACTGGAAGAAGCCCTCTAGACAAACAGTATCCATGGGATCCCTGGGTGGCGCAGCGGTTTGGCACCTGCCTTTGGCCCAGGGCGCGATCCTGGAGACTCGGGATCGAATCCCACGTCAGGCTCCGGGTGCATGGAGCCTGCTTCTCCCTCTGCCTGTGTCTCTGCCTCTCTCTCTGTGTGTGTGACTATCATAAATAAATTTAAAAAAAAAAAAAAACAGTATCCAAGGAAATCAAACCTGACACTGTGTCTCCTACTCGGGCCCTTACTCCTGTCCCAGATGCCAGCACCCTCTCCCTGGTCTCCTGGCATGTGACCCGCGTCGGGTTCCCTCAAGGAGGCTACTAATCCGTGCTCCTCCTGTCTGTCCACTCTTCTCCTCACTTTACCTCTCTGCTTTCCTGTGCCTTATTCTTCATGATGCAGGAGTATGTGGTCCTCTGCCATTTAGTGCAGGTCAGAGATCTGCCATCAGGAAGAGAACCTCTCATGCCCAAGCATGAATATCTAGTCATCCTGCTGGTTCGAGCTCTGTGAATTAGCTAATCAACACTCTCGTGTGTGTGTGTGTGTGTGTGTGTGTGTGTGCACGTTACTGTGCGTGAAGGATGCCAAGGAACAGTAGTAGGTAATGCTGTGAATTGAAGGGAACTGACATCCCTTCTGTTGCCAGATCATCCTGAAATCTTGTGAAAATTTCGAACTTACTCTCAAGAGGTGAATCGGTCTTCACTATGTTTGCATTTAAAGACAGCAACTTGACTGCTCAGACATAAGATATTCAAGGTAGCCTTGGTAGAAGCAGCCCATTTACTAAAAACTCAACGCATCAGGAGATGATTTGCTAAGAGCCAAGCTCTGAATGACCAATCTGCCAAATGGTGGCTAAAGATTTGTTTTACAATCATAGATACACATAGTTGAGCACCATTTTAAGAAATATGGCATCATCAAAATAATTGAGGGCAGAGAGGATAATATTGTTTGGAAACTGTTGCAGAAAATTTTCTGAATATGAAGAAGTTTTAGAAATACCTTAACAATTTGTTTTGCTTTTGTTTTTCCTTTTATATATATATCCAAGTATGATATTTGATTTACATCTAAATAAGTATAAAAGAGCTTTTGAAAGATTAAAAAAACACATTGTGTCATAGTTCAAAGTCTTTTTCTTTTTTGCTCTCTTTTCTTGGTGATTTTTAAATAATGCTATGTTTTAGAACTGACAGGGTCTTAAATTACACGAAATGCCATATAGTTTCCTTCCTGGAAAATTTATTGCACAGTAAAACAGTGCAAACATATTTTGTTTTTACATGTAAAATGATGTTAAATTCGAGGCTCAGATAAATAAATATAAGTGACATTCCCTCTCTGGAATGGGACAATTTTGTTGTTGTTGAGGACTTACTGTCGGTATATAGCATTCCTGACGCTACCTAATAAAAGCCAATAACATTCTTTTTAATAACAAAAAAAAAGATTTGTTTTACAGTTTTAGTTTTGCCTTGGCCTTGCATGTTTAGTCCTGTGTGAATGCATATCTATTTCAAGCTAGTTTTGTATTTCAGAAACCAAGAACTTCTTAAATCCTCCATGTCTCACACACATGAATGGTTCTGATTTCTATCACAGGGTGCTTGTCTTGCTTGCCTCTCCCCCACTGCTGCTGTCCCCCCACCCCCACCCCCATCTGTCAGTGTTCCTCCCTGCCTCTGCTCGGATGAATATGCTTCAAGGATCTGTGTGTGCAGGCTGAGGAGCTTCTCCTTTGACAAAGCCCTAGAAATGTCCAGGAATATGTATGTGTCTAAGACTTGATACAAATGGCCAAATTACAAAGTTCTTTGCAATTATGCCGAAATACATTCACACCAACTGGGTATAAGACACTGACTGAGGATCATGAATTATATTCCTACCAGCAGTGATCGAGGCTGCACGCTCCCCATACCTGGCCAACAGCAGGCATCATCACTGGCTTCCATCTTTGCCAACATGGAAGATTAAACACAATGTTGCATTGCCTTTTGAACGTGCATATCCTTGGTTATTAATGAAGTAAACATTTTTTTCCAGGATAGATGATCATTTTAACTTCTTTTCTGAAATGCCTATTCATGCCCTTTGCACATTTGCTTTGGCATTTGGGCTTTTTATTGATCCTACATTATATTTTTCCCTAATTGCCTTGCTACTTTGCCTGGTGTGATTTTTGAGAATCAGTTTTCATTTTTGTCTAGTCAAATTTAGATATTTTCCCCTTCCTTTAGGTTTCCATCCTCTGCTCTTCACCTAAGAAAAGCCTTCCTCATCCTGGGATCTGATGAATAGTTATTTATATCTGTCTGGCTCATTAATTTAAATTTGTAAATGCCTCTGGAACTTATATTGCTATATAGCGTTCTCCATTTTAAAAACAAAACTTGAGGGAGGTTCCTGGGTGGCTCCATGGTTTGGCACCTGCCTTCGGCCCAGGGTGTGATCCTGGTGTCCCTGGATCGAGTCCTGTGTCGGGCTCCCTACAGGGAGCCTGCTTCTCCCTCTGCCTGTGTCTCTGCCTCTCTCTCTCTCTGTCTCTCATTCATTTATTATTCATAAATAAATAAAATCTTTAAAAATAAAAACAAAACTTGAACAGGATGGATTTAAGCAGGGAAGACTTCTGATAAGAATAACACCTGATGATGAGGGTGATGTGGATATGACCTTCGAGGCCCTCAAATGGAAGATGGTATTAGGTCTCTTTCATTCCTCTCCTCCGGACCCTGAATACAACTGAGTCTACAGCTGTGGTTCGCATTATATGTTGTCAGCTTTCTTAGGCAATATCATATTGATCAGTTAACTCTAAGGCCAAAAAATTTGATGAAAGTATACCCTGAAATGAGCAAGAAAACTTTGATGACCAAAGTATAGACTCTAAAACCCTCTTAGAAACTTCCTTCCTACTTACATGTACACTTGGAGTTTTAAAAGTTAATTATCATATTTCTCTTAAAATTTTAACCATGCTTACCCAGCAAGACAATACCAAGAATGAGAGAAGAGGACCTTAGTTCTTCCTATAACTCTGCTTTCCTCTCCGGCCTTCCATCATGCTTTCCCCATGTTTTTCCAAAGTATAAAGATATAAGGAAGACTGCTAAGGTTTGTTTTTATAAAAATGAGATTGTAGTATCACCCTGTAACTTCATTTTTTTTTCAATAATGGTCATCCTTCTAGGTCAACAGATATACTTGATGCATTTTCTTGACAACTACACAATCTCTCTCTCTCTCTCTCTCTCTCCTTACACACACACACCACACACACACAGAGTTTGTTTAGACTACGATAGCAAAATAACAAAGATTGGGTGATTTAAACAAAAGGAGTTTATTTCTCACAGTGCAAGAGGCTTAGAAGTCTAAAGCCAGCCAATTAGGGCCTCTGGTGAGGGCTCTCTTCCTGGCTTGCAGATGGCCACCTTCTTGCTGTGTCTTCAACTTGAGAGAGAGAGAGAGAGAGAGAGAGAGAGAGAGAGAGCGCTCTGGTCTTATAAGACCCTTCTAAAGAAACTTCTTATAAGGATACTAACTCCATTATGAGGGCCCTACCCACATGACCTCATCTAAATCTAATTGTCTCCCAAAGGCTCCATCTTCCAATACCATCACACTGGAGGTTAGGGCTTCAATATATGAATTTGGTGGGAGACACAGTCAGTCCATCACACACACACACACACACACACACACACATATACACACACATATTTAAATCCTAGAATTAAATACCAAATAACTTGGTCTAGAAACCACATCAAGTTTTTAACAATTAATTTTAAAATATTTTTGTCGGGGATCCCTGGGTGGCGCAGCGGTTTGGCGCCTGCCTTTGGCCCAGGGCACGATCCTGGAGACCCGGGATCGAGTCCCACATCGGGCTTCCGGTGCATGGAGCCTGCTTCTCCCTCTGCCTGTGTCTCTGCCTCTCTCTCTCTCTCTGTGACTATCATAAATAAATAAAAATTAAAAAAAATATTTAAAAAAAAGTAAAAAAATAAAATATTTTCGTCAAGTGTCTTTCTCAGGGTATAAGGAATATAAGATATGGCATTTTATTTTATTTTTAAAAAACATTTTATTTATTTATTCATGAGGGACACAGAGAGAGAGAGGCAGAGATACAGGCAGAGGGAGAAGCAGGCTCTATGCAGGGCACCTGATGTGGGACCCGATCCTGGGACTCCATGATCACGCCCTGGGCCAAAGGCGGCGCTAAACCGCTGAGCCACCCAGGGGTCCCCCAAGATATGGCATTTTAAAATGACTTACAAAGTCATACTTGGGATTTTGTTGAAGTCAGAGTAGTTTAAAAACACGAATTTCATTTTTTAAATAAATACATAGGATGTGCCTCTTCTAGACAAAAAAAAGGGGGGGCTATAAATTGCTTACTGGAAAACAGCACTGTATAATGATTAAAGCTGGATATTAAAACATATTATTTTTAAAGAATTTTTATTATTTATTTACTTGAGAGAACAAGAGAGTGAGCATGAGCAGGAGGAGGGGCAGAAGGAGAAGGAGAAGCAGACTCCTGAGCTGAAGCAGAATCAGCTGAGCAGGGAGCTGGATTTGGGGCTTGATCCCAGGATCCCAGGACCTTAACCTCAGCAGAAGGCAGACACTGAACCAACTGAGCCACCCAGGTGCCCCTAAAACATTCTTAATATAAAAAAGAAAGAAAAGCAAATTCGAAAATCCAAATAATTTGTCTAATCACGTAATTTCTATAGTGGTACTAACTCAGCATTTCTCTGACTTAAGATTTGGCAGGATGATAAGGCATTTCAAAGAAAATATTTAAGTTTTTCTTCCTACCCTTCTTAGATTCTATTACAACATGAGTCCTTGAATTATTCGTGAATTTTGCAGTGTTAACATAAATCAGAAAACATTAAAAAAAATTATAGCTTGCTTCCTCCCCCATTTAGAAAAGGAAATGAGACCAGCCATTAGCCAAATATTTTTCACGTGCATACAAGTTGAAGGTTTTGTTGTCAAACATTTGTACTTTTCTGTGTAACTCTCATTTGTTCAGTATACAATTAAAATGTCAATATTCTCCCCCCAAAGTTCAAGTATTAATTAAGCTCCCACTTTGTGCTAATTAATTATCCAGATGGTGGCTGGAGAGAAATTTTTTATCCAGTTTGTAGCCAAGGAAACCATGTGTTCCAAGGAAAATAATGAAGAATTGGTGGAAAGTTGCCAGATCAATAAATACGGAGTGAGTAGTAACACAACTAACTGTGTACTTGTTCTCTGGAAAACTTTTTGATGTTTTATACTTGTTTAAGCATCTCATGAATAACACTGTTCTCTCTTTTGGCTTCTGTTTTCCTGGATAGGAACAGCTAAAATGTGAAGCTGAAGTGTATGTGATCCGTTGGGAGAAGAAAATTCACCCTACTGTCAACTGTCAGTCACTGGGAAAGGTATGATTCTAATTACTGTCAGCCCAGGACAATTTTGTTCATTCTGAAAAATCATGTTTGGGATTGAAAATGAACCATTATTTAAATGAATTAGGAAACTATCTTTTTTAAATGAGGGAGAACTTCCACATTTCTGTGCTGACCTCTTTATGGCTAGACATGGGAGCAGCAGTCCTCATAATTTTTGTCACATCTTGTCAGCGTGCCATGGTCAGGGGGCCCTCTCCTGGTGAAGTGCAGGCCCTGCCGTGGAGGGCTGATGCTAACTGTACCCACAAGGTATGCCTGCGGTAGGGCACAGCTCTCCCATGCCCACCGCTCAGGGCCAAGGACCTCTGGAGAAATGCCGATCTCAGCCCCCACTCCGCATTTATTGACTCAAAATCTGCATTTTAACATGATCGCTAGGAACTCATACCCATGTTCAAGTCTGGAAAGCATTAGTTTGCATCATTTTTTTTAATTTTTAAAAGGTCCCTGGGAGGTAAAACTTTCCCCATTGTCAAGGATGACATAGTAAATATTACAAAGATGCTGAGGTCTAGGGTGAATAATAACATTACCAAGTGCATTCTCTGTCCCAGGCACTGTACTGAGAGCTTCATACATATTTCATTCCTGACACTTCTATGAGGCAGGTGTTGTTATTATCCTCTTTACAGATGAGAAAAGTGAAGCCATGATGCTCAGATTCAAATCAGAGCCCACCCTATTTGCCATGATGCTGATTATTAGTAGGGTCTGACTGGTTTGACTCCCCAAGCCAAGCTCTTTGTACCACCAAATACTGCCTCTGAACATCACATTCTCACAGGTAGTGAAAGTGTAGGTGGAAATAACCCACACGTCCATATCTTCAGTGCAATTTGCCTCTTCTTACTTTTTTCTTATTTTTTCTTACTTTTTTGCCATGTGTTGATGTGTATATTGTCTAACAAACATTAAATAAAGACTGCGTTTCAAGCTGGTGAACATGTCCTAATGTGTTTCAATTCAACAAAGTAGTTGTGGATATATACTCCCTAGATATTCAGCTCATAAAGCCACTTAGGGCCTTTTAGGACAAAAACAGTTAATTATGCTAATAGAAATAGTATCAATGAATAAATAATATGTTGTGACTTTTATATAATCATAGATGTGGAAGGTACCCTAGAGATTATGTAGTACCACCACCCAATTTTTCCAAACGAAGGAAAAACTCTCCAGCTTAGAGTATTAAGAACAATAATCAAAGGGCTGTGGAAGGGGAGGTGGGTGTGGGGATGGGGTAACTTGGTGACGGGCACTAAGGAGGGCACTGATGGGATGAGCACTGGGTGCTATACGAGATGATGGCAAATTGAATTTAAATAAAAAATAGGGATCCCTGGGTGGCGCAGCGGTTTAGCGCCTGCCTTTGGCCCAGGGCGCGATCCTGGAGACCCGGGATCGAATCCCACGTCGGGCTCCCGGTGCATGGAGCCTGCTTCTCCCTCTGCCTGTGTCTCTGCCTCTCTCTCTCTCATTCTATGTGACTATCATAAATAAATAAAAATTTAAAAAATAAATAAATAAATAAATAAATAAATAAATAAATAAATAAATAAAACTGGGCAGCCCCCGTGGTGCAGCGGTTTAGCGCCCCCTGCAGCCCAGGGCGTGATCCTGGAGACCTTGGATCGAGTCCCACGTCAGGCTCTCTGTATGGAGCCTGCTTCTCCCTCTGCCTGTGTCTCTGCCTCTCTGTCTCTCATGAAGAAATAAATAAAAATCTTTAAAAAAATTATCAAAATAAATAAATACATATATACATACAACTAAAAAAAACCCAATACCTACAAATTATAAAATCAATAAAAAACACTTTCATCTCCTCTGGAACATTAATATAATATTTTTTAAGATTTTATTTTCTTATTCATGAGAAACACAGAGAGAGAGGCAGAGATACAGATAGAGGGAGAAGCAGGCTCCTTGTAGGGAGCCCAACATGGGACTTGATCCTGGGACTCCAGGATCACATCCTGGGTCAAAGGCTGGCGCTAAACCACTGAGCCACCCAGGGATCCCCTAATATAGTATTTAAAATCTGATAAATTTGCCCTATTATAAACCAAGATAGCATTGCCAGGACTCAGTCCCTCCTTTCTTCATTGATAGTATGGTTTTCACAGATGAATGCATTCATCTTAATATTCCCTATTTAGGTCATATTGATGAGAAGGCCTCCAGGTTTTTCACCTTTCCGATCCTCATTCATGGAGAAAACAGAAAAAGGAATAACTGTAAGTCCACCCCACAATTCCATGGCACCTGTACAAGATGAAGAGTGGGATTCAGGAAAAGAACAAGGACCCACTCATGGGCATGGCAGGGGCCATGAAAAGCAAATAAAACATGGCCATAAATATAAGCATGACCAAGGCTATGGCCACAACAGGGGACATGGCCTTGGCCATGGACATCAAAAGCAACATGGCCTTGGTCATGGAGGTCAACGGGAACTTGACTATGTTCTTGAACACCAAAGGAGACATGACCTTGGCCATGGACATCAAAGGGGACATGGCCTAGCCCATGGACATAAATATGAGCATGGTCATGGCCATGAAAAATATAAAAATAAAAGAAAAGACAATGGGAAGAAAAATGGTTGGAAAACAGAGAATTTGGCAGGTTCTCCTGAAGATAGTACTACCTCTTCTGCACAGACACAAGAGAAGACACAAGGGCCAACAACCCTCCCTTCCCTAGCCCAGCCAGGTATAGCAGTTACCATGCCTGACTTTCAGGACTCAGATCTCTTTGCACCTGTGATGCCTAACATACCACCAACTGCCACAGAGAGTGATGATGATTGGATCCCTGACATCCAGATAAAGCCAAACAGCCTTTCATTTAACCTGATATCTGACTTTCCAGAACAAACCTCCCCCAAATGTCCTGGACGCCCCTGGAAGCCAGTTCATGGAATGAATCCAACTGTGGAAGTGAAAGAATTTCATGATTTCGATCTCTCTGATGCTTTGTATTAATTTATGCAGCCACGATTCTTTCTTTAACACTTCATTGTTCCTTCTCCCCATTGTCTAAATGTCCTAATATAACACACCAAAAGCCATCAAGCTTCAAAACAGCCTAGAGAGAAGGGGTGAGACCCCCAATGGGGACACCATCAATCTCAATGGACGACATAAAACTGTGCGCAGTATTCTAAATCCCCTCTGGGTCTTCCTCACAAGTTTTCTTAACTAGCACAGAAAATGGACAAACTCATGTGCCTTATGGCCTACTGCAATTTGCTTTTCTGATAACAAATATGTATCTCAAGATGTATGTCATCAACTTTCATACAAAGATTCTTGACATTCTGAATAAACTATGGCATGTGGTCCCTGAACACATGCAAAAATAAGGGAAGTCAAGAGACTAAATGATGAATCTCTTGCTGGGAAAAAAATAATAATGGAACCTCCAGAGGTTAAGGAGGGACAACAAGGAAGCAAGACAGAGCAGCCTAAGAGAGGACAGGAGGAAGTAAATTAATTGACTTTCGGTTTCCAGAATGACTAGTATACCAAATAGTTACTCCCACTGGACAAAGCTGTCCTGATAATTCTCTTTCTGGGTGAGAGGGTTTCTTATGCGTCAATAATTTACATTTACTCAGTGAGTGCCCTTTGCAGCAAGACTTCCAAATAGGAGTTTTCTGCTTGTTCATTCTTGCCCAGGCTGCACTGAGTGATCCTTAGCTTATCACTGACTTTAGTGATAAGGATGGAAAGCCAAGAAAGTAATGTAGAGATAGTCTTGCCAAGGAAAACATTCTTTAAATAATTGACAAGGGAATATCATGAGACGTGATGCAAATTTCATTCAAAAATTTTATGAGGAAATTCCTCTCTAGCCTCACTTTATGATCATATCATCGTTTTGCAATAACGTTGAACAGAAGAAAATAATACGATTATCTTTAATTGCCTTATAAAATGAGGGAAGGATATATTTTACAACCCTTGCTGTCATTTTGCCTAGGGAAACAAGATAGAGCTTTAAACAGCTGCATTTACCTGTGGATGAATGCATCACTGCTACTTCAATTTCTGGGATGTATTTGAACCTCTGAGTTTTTATATAATTTCAAATATTATCTGTACTTTTAAATAAAGAACAAATGATGTAGGAAAAAAGTCTCATCTTGTCAAATGGTTGCTTCACTCTTCTTTTATTGAATGATCACAACAGATTAACAGAGTTTTGCTATACTTACAGAGGCGCCTAAGGCTCTGCGAGTACAAGGGCCGACCTCAGGAGGCAGGGGCAGAGCCAGAGCCAGCACCTGAGAGTGAGGTCTCTTGACCAGCGGGCAGAATCGTCACGCCTGACACAATAGCTCCAACAACCTCTATCACCACCCCCGCATGGAAGGACAAGAAGATGGGATAAAATTTAAAGAGAAAAATGCCACCTACTATTCTGTTGCTGAGTGAAATAAACTTCAGTCTTGATGCTCTCATTCCTGGTGAATTTATGATGGTCTTCTTTTGGCCACACCCATCCTACAGCAAAGCCCAATAGATCAGAGAGCCAGTATCATGGCTCTATCATGAAAACTCCTAGCCCAACTCTAGAGTGCTCTCACTAGCCAAGGCAGGAGTCCCTTAGGTGAGGCTACCTTACCACCAAGACCTCATCATGGGTGCTAAGTTTAGGGTTAGTGAGTCCTGTTTCTACTAGAAACCTAAGGACTCTCTACCTTCCCTTCTTCCTCCTCTCAATTGTCCCACTAAACTTAAGACTAATTTGTCTTATTATAGTTTTTTATGATCCAGATGATTACCAACAAGAAAAAAAAGCTTTTGTTAATGTGATGTCTACCAACTTCTCATTATTAGAAAACATCTAACCACAGAAAAAAAACATTTTAAAAAATGTTTTAAATTATCTTTCTGAACTGGGTAAAGAAGAAAATAGAAATCTAGTAGAAGAAAAAGTATAGAGATTTTAAATTTTCTGTAGTAAAACCCATGTATTGAATGCCTATGATAGCCATTTACTATGCTAGACAATTTCCTTTTGGGGTGTAACTTAATCCTCACAACCACTCAGAGGTCCCCATCATCACTTTTTTTTTTTACAATGAGGAAAGTGTAGATCTCAGTACCCTGCCCGGGGTCACACAGTTAATATGTGACAGAGCTGGCATTCAAACCCAGACCTTTTGAACTACACTATGCCATGTTATAATGAGGCTTTCTTATCAACATTGTCATCACAGAAAACACATCAGGATAATTTCTGATTCCAAGATGATCATTATCTCAATCCAAAAACCCGTATTAAATAGCTCATTGAGGCTGGTGCTCTCCTGGGTACTACTCAGGATATCCTATAATTGAGTCAGGTAACAGGATTGACTCTTTTCCATTTAGTTAGCACAAGGTCTTGAGAAGAAGAGGAATTTTTAAAGATGTAAATCCTTTCCCTCAAAAAACTTGCAACCACATCAGGCAATGTGACTAAAGCACATAGAACAGACATTTAATCCAAGCCATGGTCACTTGTGGAGCAGTGAGCAAGCCTGACTAATGCGATAGGAAGATGTGAAGAGGTGGAGGGACCAATGTGGAGAGAGAAAATGAAGCCCAATTGGGAATTCAGATCAGAGTAAACCATGAAGTACCTTTTACATTTCTTGAGCTAAGATGTACTGAAAGAGTGTTTAAGGTCCATTATTCAAAAGATTCTGGGGAGCACAGGTCAGAGTGAGACCAACTAGACTCGAGGCAGTATCCCAGGCATCTCTCATCCGGCGCATCCTAACAGAAGAATGACCACTTGGGGCTGGCATGTAGAGCCTCCAGTTCTCACTTTACTCAATAACATGAAGCATTTCCACTTCAGACCTTTTAAAGGTAAAATAATGACAAATTTCCTGTGACCCAGCACCCACCTTTTACTCTTTTTTTTTTAAGATTTTATTTATTTATGAGAGATACAGAGAGAAAGAGGCAGAGACACAGGCAGAGGGGGAAGCAGGTTCCATGCAGGGAGCCCGACGTGGGACTCGATCCCGGGTCTCCAGGATCAGGCCCTGGGCTGAATGTGGCGCTAAACCGCTGAGCCACCCAGGCTGCCCTATTAACTCTTAAATCTTTTTGCCAACAGGATGGTTACGAATCTCACAAGAGATGGATAGATGGATGGACAGGTGACTAAGTTTTTTATGTGCTAGGATTGTCATAATAAGAACGGAGAGTACAAGATGGGTATAAATGGCATTTCAAAGACTTATAAACAAATTACTACATTTGAAGGATGAAGGACTGGAACAGGTCAAAAATGACAAAAGTTTTCCAGTCTAGAGTGCCTAAAGGGATGGGTTGACACAAGCAAGGAAATGGGGACCTAGTCTGTGATTTACAGTGACTCACAAAGAGACAAGCTGACCCAAAATGCACATAATTGAAGATGTTCCAATAGCTAAATGAACATATTAAATCAATGTGCAAGTGGAGTATAGAACCCTCCTACGTCCCACCTCAGATTATTTCATTTATTCTGATATCTGTGGCCCCTGCCATGTACACAGGGGAGTATCATTAGCTACTCCTGGAATAAACTTGAGGAAACTGTCATCACAGGACTCCTAGCAAAAAGAACAGAAAGGAAAGAAACTTTTCTCTGAAAGTAATCTGAACTTCTATTTCTACTAGTGGACCAGAAGCCCAAATCTAGCAAGAGATCTTTGTTACTAAAGCTTTCCTATCTTTTGTCTTCTTTATCTGGCATGTGGAGATGGTATCATATTGAGTGTGTGGAAATCACACTATCTTATCATGGATATTAAAAATAATGAAATAGGGGCAGCTGGGTGGCTCAGTCAGTTAAATGTCTGACTCTTGGTTTCAGCTCAGGTCATGATCTCAGGGTCTTTTTTTTTTTCTTTCTTTCTTTTTTTTTTTTTTTTTTTTTTTTTTTTGATCTCTTGGTCTTGAGATCCAGCCCTGCAATGGGCTCTGTGCTCAACAGAGAGTCTGCTTGAGGATTCTATCATCTATCTATCTATCTCTCCCCCCTCCTCTCTCTCCCCCTCTCTTTCTGTCCCTCCCCCTGTTCACATCCTCTCTCAAATAAGTTAATTATTTAAATTAAAAAAATAGATGAAATAAGTGCGCCTATCATAATGAGCAGAGTACTGTAGAGAATTGTTGAGTCATTCCATTGCACACGTGAAACGAATAAAACACTATATGTTAACTATACTAGAGTTAAAATTTAAAAACTTAATAAAAAAATAAAATTAAAAACCAAGATCCTGCCACTCCCACACTTACAGCTTTGTGGCAGTTTTAGTTCACTGAAAATGATACTAAAACCCTATATAGTTGCCTACAAAAACCCCTGTAACAACCTTTTACCCATCTCTCCATCCTTGGCCCCAGCCACTCCTTTCTTTATTCACAGCACTCTAGTCACAAAGATCTTTCAACAATTCTCAAGTATGACAAGCTCTTTCACACTGTAGGTCCTTTATACTCCCTGTCCCTTCTCACTGAATGTGTGTCCCCTGGCTTTAAGCAAGGCGCCTTCCCTCCCATTCTTGAAGTCTTAGCTATAATATCAGAGAGATTTTTCTCTGACCATCCTATTCACCACCCACACAGTTATTTTGTTTTTAAACACAACACCCCACACTATTTTTTCCTTCAGAGCACATACAACTATTTATTATTTTGCTTCTTTATTCCGTATAACTGTTAGTATTTGATTGATTGATTGATTTCATTTTTCAAAAATTTTGAATGCCTACCACGTTATTTTGTTCTAGGTTCTAAGAGGATAGCAACACATGGCCTCATGAATCTTATTTTCTAGCAGGAAAGATGGGAAATACAGCAGAGTAAAAGAATGTACAGTTGGGAGAAGGTTTGGGCGACTAGGATGGGATTTTCTGAAGAAGAGATACTTAAACTTAGACTTGAATGACATAAAGAAAAAATTTGCGAGCTATGAAGGAAAAGAACCCCATGCCACAGATTAAGAGTTTGGGTCCTGTACGTATAATATGCCTATAAATAGGCATTTTTATGCCTATTTAATTTATTTATGCCATATAAATATATTTATTTATATTTATATGCCGAGTGGAAACATGAATAGGTAGTTGAGTGTACAGGTCATGCCTACTAGGAGATATAGAGGAGTGGTAGGTAGTTGAGTACAGAAGCAGCATAGTCACAGAAGCTGAGTGTAACTTGCCCAAAGATAATGCTCTAGTATGACGTAGGATTTTCAGGGAGAGATGTAGATAAGGTTTTCTTGTTTGTTTATTGCAGAAAGGTTAGAGAGCAACTGGCGAGTACTTTTTGTATTAATCAATAACTTTTTTTGTGTTTTGACTTCAAGTCTCTGGCTCTTATGGTTCTCACCAAATGGAACCCTACAGTTCATTACCAAAACTGCCAAGGATAGATATCAAGAAATTGTTATTCAAGTATTTATCGCTTTGTTTTCCTTCCAGAATGATCATCTTCTTGCTTTCATTCTTACATTTGTAAGACACTACAACCTCCGATTGTGCTCTGCTCTATGCCAATCCCATGGTTTTTCCTTAAGAAAGTTGCCAGGCATTTAACATGGATCACCTTGGAAGGCACATATATGAACAGTCTTGAAAATCATTATTATTCTAAGTAGGTGACAACTATTAGCTGATATTTTATAGCTAAGGTGGTGGGGAGATGGAGGTGAATGATATTATTAAAATCGAGTGTTGAGGGGGGAAATGGATGAAATAGTAGTTCGTGGGGGAAAAAATGTAAGTTGCAGCTTTTTAGGTAAGTACTATTTACCACCTGGGTGATTTAGCACCTTAGTACCATGTCAACTTGGCTAAGCAGGAATTTTGTTTCAAGAAGCCCCTTCCTGGGCACCCGGGTGGCTCAGTGGCTGAGCATCTGCCTTTGGCTCAGGTGGTGATTCTGGGTCCTGGGATTGAGTCCCACATTGGGCTCCCCACGGGGACCCTGCTTCTCCCTCTGCCTATATCTCTGCCTCTGCGTATGTGTGTGTGTGTGTGTGTGTCTCATGAATAAATAAATAAAATCTTAAAAAAAAAGTCTCTTCCTTATATGGTTCTAGGTTAGAGTTGCTCAAAAGAGAAATTCATGTGTGATGAAGAAGATGGAGGGAGGCAGAGCCACTGCTCTCTGATGCCATCAGGTAAGATGCATGAGTGAGTACACAGGGGTGCTGAGGGGCTCCAGCTTGTCCTCCTCCTCCCCTGCTTTGCACGCAGCTCCCTTCCCACTGCTGACAGGTTGACCTACAGCCTTATGAGGCCACCAGAACAACAGCCTTCTGTGGATTTTTCACTAACTCCCCTTCACAGGCCCTCTGAGACTGGATATGCTCTTCTAGATTTCTCTGAGAGCTCTGATTTGTCCAACAGCACAATACTTGAGGAAGCCTGGAACTTTTTTCTGATCCTCCAACTTCTTTTCCCTAAATCTT